GAAATTATTGCTAACAGCACTTGCAATTTCTCCAAAATGACTTGAGGTTAATTCCTCCTGTAAGATCCCTTAGTCTCTTGTACTTTATACTTCTTATCATGCTGTATTACAATTACACAGGCCATATGCATAGGTATCCACAACAGTTAAATCCAATACTCCCATGCATGTAGTAGGTGCTCAATGTGTGTTTACTTTTTTATCATCTAGCAACACTATCCAGAAATATGCACCACATGTGTAATTTAAAACCTTCTAGTAGCCACATTTTAAAATGTAAAAAGAGAAGTTTTCATAGTGTATTAATTTTAGTAGTAGGTTTTATTTAATCAAAAACATCTAAAGCATTATTATTTCATCCTATAGCACAAGCTGCATTTCAAGTGACTAGTGGCTCCCATATTGGACAGCACAGGTCTAAAGCAGTGCTTTTTAAACTGTGTTCAGGTACATATGGAGTAAATGGGGTAAATGGATGAGACTGCCCATAGCCAGTGGCAACAGACCCAGAAGCTCAGGCTGCCTTGGTCCTTCTCAATTACCCTGAGAGCTGAGGGAAGGAAGGAATTTTCCTCTGCCTGCAAGTTTCCTTCAGCTGGTGTAATAATTCAATAGACATAACACACATTAGCAAGGGAAAATGACCAACTTTTAATTACATATAAATGTATAGGAACCTTGCTAACTCAAGAAAGTCAGAAACTCCATATCACTACATACACGACAGGTTCAGAAAAGAAAGTCATCTGAGGTGTACTGTATAAGGCCTTTTGAGCTAGGGATGAGGCAATGCACCCTGAGGCTTCAAAAGGTAATTCAAGGAGAGCACATATTTAGGAGTTATTAGTTTGCCCTGCCATATAGGAACATAAAAAGTCATTTCTGGTGGTAATTCTTATAATGGCCCAACTTCCTGATTTAAATTCTTCTAGATAGTTAAGGGGCAAGCAGAAGTCTCTCTTGAACTTGTGATGTCTAGTTTGTCTCTAACTCAAAATAATCTGCATACCACTGAAGCACATCTTGGGGTGGCTCATTCTGAACCCCTACAATATCTATAACTCTTACCCTACATAACCATTCTGCCAGACACAACAGTTGGGAATTTATCCACCCAGGGATTTCCAACCTTTTCAAGTGATAGACTCACCGACCTACTTATGTGATAGTGGCTGTACTCTTAGAACCAATTCTTAAAAAATGCATGGCAAATATATGATAGACCAAATATGTATACATATATGTGATCTATCATATACATGATATATACTTATAGAGAGATATCTTTTAGAGAGGTGTTATTAAATGTTTTTTTATTTTTTTATTGTTTACAGTTCCTTTATATTTCCTTAGTGTGTGGACAGACCTTGCACCACCAATAAATGAGAACTTAAGCAGGTCTTATAACTTTTCTCTTCAGTTTAAGGCAGTGATTCTCAAGTGATAATACTTTTCCTCCCTCTTCCTTGCCCCCCAGGAGACATTTGACAAAGCCTGGAGACATGTTTGATGTTCACAACTAAAGAGGGTTGCTGGTATATTACGGGGAGAGGCCAGGGAAGCTTCTCAACACTCTATTCCTCCTGAACAAGACAGTCCTACACACACATAGAAAACCAGCCTAAAATGTCAATAATGCCCAGGTTAAGTACTCTGCTTTAAAGAATATAAAATATTTTGATTCTTTTAAGTTGCAGATATTGTCTTCATTCTGTATTGAACAGTGTCCAATCTCAAGTGATAATCAAAACTTTAACTTAATATAAAATTAAAATTCCACTGTTTACCTAACTGGGAGGAAGGCAGAAAGTTTTCCTTTCTTTCCCTAGCCTTACACTTCATACTGGCTTCCCATCTTGCTAATACAAATTTGCAACAACTTATTTGCAACAAGTTTGCAAACACAAGTTTGCAAAGGAGGGCAAGAATGATGCAAAAGCATCCTTATTTGACCAGTTGTAATTCATACTGTAGGCCAGGCATACTTTTTCTTTTTAAAAAAATTTTATTGAATGTATTGAGGTTATATTGGTTAATAAAATTATATGGGTTTCAGATGTACAATTCTATAATACATTAGCTGTATGTTGTATTGTGTGTTCACCACCCCAATTCAAGTCTCCTTCCATCACCATTTATTCCCCTTTACCCTCTTTTACCTTCTCCATCCCCCTTCCCCTCTGGTAATCACCACAGTGCTGCCTGTGTCTATGAGTTTTTTCTCTTTGCTTAATGCCTCCACCTTTTCTCCCAGCCCCACAATCCCCTTCCCTTCTGACCTGTTCTCTAACTCTATGAGTCTGTCTCTATTCTGTTTGTTAATATATTTTGTTCATTAGATTCTACACGTAAGTGAAATAATATGATACTTGTCTTTCTCTGACTGACTTGTTTCATTTAGCATGATACTCTCTGGGTCTATCCATGCTATCACAAAAGGTAATAGTTTCTTTCTTTTTATGGCCAAGTAGTACTCCATTGTGTAAATGTACCACAGCTTTTTTATCCACTAATCTAATGATGGGAACTTGGGCTGCTTCCAAATCTTGACTGTTGTAAATAATGCTGATATGAAATAAGGGTGTATATATTCCTTTGAATTAGCATTTTGGGTTTTGTTGGATATACTCCTAGAAGTGGAATAACTAGGTCATAAAGCAGTTTCATTTTTAATTTTGGGGGGTAATCCCATACTGCTTTTCACAGTGGCTTCACCAATCTGTATTCCTACCCACAAGGCACCAGGGTTCCCTTTCCTACACATACATGGCCAACACTTGTTTGCCAGTTTATTGCCAATGGCCATTCTGGCAGGTGTGAGGTGATATTTAAATGCCATTGTGGTTCTGATTTATATTTCTCTGATGATTAGTGACTTTGAACATCTCTTCATGTGTCTGTTGGCCATCTGTGTGTCCTCTTTGGAGAAGTGTCTATTCAGGCCCTTTGCTATTTTTAAAATTGTGTTGTTTGTGTGTTTTGGTGTTGAGTTTTATCAGTTCTTTATAAATTTTGGATATTAACCCCTTCAGATGTATCATTGGTGAATATTTCTCCCATTCTGTGAGTTTTTTCATTTTGTTAATGGTTTCCTTTGCTGTGCAAAAACTTTTTAGCTTGATGTGGTCCCGTTTGTTTATTCTTTCTTTTGTTTCCCTTCCCCAAGGAGATATATCAGAAAAAAAATATTGCTACAAGAAATTTCTGGATTTTTACTTCTTGTTTTCTTCTAGGATTTTTATGGTTTCAAGTATAACATTTAAGTCTACGTTGAGTTTATTCTCATGTGTGGGGTAACAAGGTGGTCTAGTTTCAGGCAGACGTTTTTAAAAGCAGACAGTCTCCCTTAGGCACTTTTGTGGGTTCTTTGAAATACCATTAGGAACATTTGACTTCAAATCCTCTAATTTCAGGCAATTTATTTTTTTCCACCTTCAACTTCCTCCTAAGTCCCCCCCCCCTTCCCCCCCCCTTGAGTTCATCAGGAAGGGATAGGATGGTTCTAGTCTAGCTTCTTACAAATAGAAGCTAGAAAAATGTTTTTTTACCCAACAACTCCTTTAAAAATGCATTTGATTGAAACGTTTCAATTTTAAAGGAGTAACTGAGCTCCTGATATTTTTATTTCCCTCCCTTTTCTATTATGTCACCAATACTCCAATAAATTAGACTATCAGATGACAATTCTGTGAGACTGATCCCATACCCAGACTTGACCTCAGACAAATTACTTACCTTTGCCTCAGCTTCAGCTCTAAAATATGTATAATTATTTTATATATTTCAAAAGGTCATTGTGAGAATGGATTCAGTAAATTTGGGCTGAACATTGCTATATACTGAACAAGATTTGAGCTATTAAGGACACATGAGTGAAAAACATTTACAAAAGTAGATTAAAAAAACTTACCCACATAGAGCTTACATTGCAATAGAATAAATTTATATTGTGCTAGCTTCCTTGGAGAATACCAAGCACATAGTAAGTTTTCAATGCATTTTAGATCTACATATTATTATTAACCTACTTGAATGATTGGTTTATTCTAAAGTATGGTTTGAGCAGAAAATAGGCTTTTGTGTACCTAAAAAAGTATCCCAAATCCTCATATTATTATGTCAATAATTGGGTTTAGACAATAGAGGGCCCAGTTAATATTGATATCTTATCTTATAGAGATAATAAATGCCTATCAGTCATTCATAATAATATACCTTCACTATATTTAGACTCTATGTTTAAGGAAGGTCCAACCTTAAGTGTTGAGCTCATCATTGAATTCATAGCCTTTAGCATGGATCCTGATGACCAGTAGACATTCGGAAAATATTTGCTCATGACTGACTTCGACACACACAGAATTTTGAAGATAAAGGGAGCAGAGGGAGCTGAGGATAGGGGGCTGCTGAAGACATAGGAGTAGTTTGAGACCAACTCATGTTTCAGAATTTCTCCTGTAAATGGTGGTAATTTTGACATCAATAAGAAGAATAAGAAGTATCTGCTTCAGAAAAAAAAATCACTTTGGGTTAACATTAAAAAAGAAGAAGATTGACAAAATTATTTTGGCAGGTGGACCTTTGAAAATGTCTGAACTTATCTACAGGAACTATACAATCATAATTAATTAATAACAATTCTAAAGCATTTCTCTCTTGTTTAGATGAGTTTTTGTTTTAAGATAATTTTGTGAATAGGTATAGATAGATAAAATTGTCCAGCAAAGGTTATCATGTTAACTACCAGGAAATAAAAGTGAAAATAAATTGTGACTATAAGGAGCTAACCACATTCTCATTGCACATTCATGTTGCAATAGAGCTAACACTTTCCTATGGGCAAATTGTTACTCATACGCCCTGTCTAAGCAGAAGGGCTTAAGCCATTAATTCAGGAAGTTGTTCCATAAGTACTGTTTTCCATTCATACTAGCATGAAGTAATAATCATAAAGGAGAAATTTACTGAAAGTCTCTAACTTGTTTTTCTTTTATCTCTAGTGTTCAGACTGCAACATAGTGCTTCTGATACAAGCGACAAAAAACGAGTTAAAAGCAGATTAAAGAAGTTTATTACCCGAAGACCTTCCCTGAAAAGTCTACAAGAAAAAGGACTTATTAAAGGTACAGGACAATTTGTACTTTTACTACAATAGTGTTAAATGAATGTGCCTCTGTGTCCATAGCTAGTCAGACATAAGAGAATATTAGGAATATTTTATTCTTCTTTGGTTACTTATTAAATGTTCTGCTCTATAAGAGAGAGAAAAAATAATCATCCAAAAAATATAATCCTGAGAAGATAAAGGATGCATCATGGATTGTTGTAGAAAACCTACCCAGTTTTTCCCTCAGAGGATCTGAACTCTGCTGCAGGAATGGAGAAGAGGTATCTTGGTGGCCTGTCAGAATGACTCTATGTCTCCACATGTCTATGCAAGCCCAGTTTATACCTACTGCCCCAGCATACTTAGTAACAGCAGCCCTTTCCACTCTCAGGCATGTCCTGATTTTCATGGTAAGTTATCTGATCACCCTAGTCATAGTCTGAGGTAAATGGTAGGAAGAAGTGCTGGGAAGAAAGTCCAAGTACAGACTAGCATCATGAAAATTTGGGGGTTTGAAACCTGGAAGACTGAGAACTAAACTAACTTAAATAAGCAGGTACTTTTGCAAATATACCTACAGGAAAGAATAAAATATCCTAGAGCAACCTACCCAGCAGAATAGAATAACATCGACTCTGGCGTTAGGCTAATTAGAATTCAGACCTTGGTTCTACCACTCATTTGTAATGACATTTAACAAGTTATGATCTCTCTGAGCCTTGGATATTTCAACTGTCGAATGGGAATACTTATACCCACCACCGAGAGAACCATTCAAAGAAATAAATGAGATAATTCATGTAAGGCATTTTTTCTTTTTTTTTTTTTTTTTTTGTTGTCGTCCAATTACAGTTGTCCCCATTTCCCCCTCACTGTTACTAATATTGTTATTATTTATTATTACTGTAGTTATTACTGTTAGTATGACAGATAGATGAAAGGATGGATGGATAAATCAAACTAGTGATACAGATTTCTGTAACAGGAAATTAATTCATAGGTCAAACAGTAAAAATGTATTCTTTTCCTGACTAAGAAAACTCATGCGTCAAGTTCATTATTCTCCCTGTTCTTCACATTTTCTAACTTTTGAATTTGATTTGTAAATTAAATACAAAAAAACCTTTGAAAATGGGTAAAATAAACTCTTGAAACCAGCTCTGAGAACAAAGTTGAAAGACTGATTCTTATAGACGTCAAAGGTGATTTAGTATACAGTAATATTTCAGGAAGAGGGCAAAGCAGATTCTCATATTTTTAGCAATACTTAATATGAGAATTATTTAAATAGTTTATAGTAAGTATGTGGCCTATCTATTTCAGTCCATTTTGAAACAGTTGAACATATAGCAAAAATCATTTGTATTCTAAACCAATCCAGCAAGGTGAAGTTTTGTAAAGTGTGCACATAGATGGTGGAAAAGTCTTAGAATGTAAGCATTTGTGGGGAGAAATAGCGCATACTCCGAAGAGGTTCATCTCAGACTTTTAATCGCTGAAAATGTCCTTTGCAGTGCCCTAGACAGTATTTGGTCCTCTACAGATTCAATTATGTATAATAATATACTACTATCTTCATTTCTACCTTAGAAATCATGCCATAGGTCATCATTTTCTTAGACAGGATTCAGTCACAGATTACCTGCCATCTTGAAAAAATATAAAGCCAGATCATTAGCCTGAACAATTTCACTCTGACATAAAGTTTAAAATTTTCAGGATGCTGGCAAAAGGAAACATCTTTTAATTCAGTGGCATGTTTTGGCCCAATCAAAATGCTAAAGAATTAATAAGATTTAGGAACTGTAGTACTTTAGAATTGGCCTCAGAAAGCAGCAGAGGAGCCGGATGCCTAGTGCAGTCTTCATAGATGCAATGGAACCCCTGAACACACTCTGCTTTGCACACTCCCTGTCTCGGAGTGCCATTAAATTCTCAGCGTGGCTGGCCAATGAGTCAGTATTCATTAGTAGGGCTATGGAAAATCTTTGTGAAATTCTGATTTGATAAGCTGCTATTGTTGTCTTCAGTGGAATTTTATTCCAAATACAGATCGTTATGCAAATATAGTCACTTCTTGGGTTAGTTTCAATTTTAACTGTGAATTTTTTAAAGGCTTTTACTGAGATTTTTTTAAGTAAGTAAAAAGCATTAAACCAATTTTTAAAGCTACAGGCCCAGTAAAAATGACCACTTTAAGTTTCTTTTCTTAGCATATCTAGGGCGGAGACTTTGAAAAGGCAATGAAATAAGGGTTTTTGAAAGGTTACAAAAATCATATAAAATAAATTAATGATGAATGTTAAATGGTAAATTTTCCAAGTTATATGACAAGTCTTTCAAGGAAAATTATTTAGAAAAAAAAGGATAATGGCTTTTTAATTTTTTCTGCAGTGCATTTGTTCAAAGATTATGGATCAAATTCTTTAAACTGTCAAATAGCCTAGATCTGGAACACAGGCCTTCATTATCAAGGTCCAGTAAGCTGTGCTTGATAGTCTAGGGCTGACAGTGTACAGGCTGCAGATACTTCGCAGGGTCTGAATGTTCAGGAAATGTTACGAACAAGTTGAGAGGCCTGTGCTTTGACTCTGGCCAGTCTTTACTGAGCACCCACTATGAGTCAGGGAAGGCTGTGCTTTATTAACTTTATAATGCCCTGCATAAATGTGAAAAAAGATTTGTCCCAATATTATATAGTCTAAACTCAGTCACAAACCCTTTCTTCATTTTTTTTTTTTTGTACTCATGGAGACCTAGCTAATATGTGATTTCACTGACTCAAAGCTAGATCTGTAAACAGTCACTTGATATGGCTGCATTTTTTAACTTATTTAATATGACTAACGAGAGGGGTACATTGTGGTGCCAAAAAGGGCTAGCAGCTAATTCTGAATGACCACCCAATGGAATGAAATCTTAACAGTTCAAGTGAGTATAGCATTCATTGTGCCATTTCAGTGGTAGCTCCTGAAGAGCCTTCAATTTCTCCTACTTTCACATTTGGCAAGGGAGAAATGGTGAGTGCTTTTTATTTCTTTATTTTTCCTTTTCATTGAATTTATTGGGGCGACACTAGTTAACAAAGTTATACAAGGTTTCAGGAGCACAGTTCTGTAATACATCATCTGTATACTGCATTGTGTGTTTACCACCCCCAGTCAAGTCTCCTTCCAACATCACTTATCCCCCCTTTACCTCCTCCACCCCCCCAACACCTCTCCCCTGGCAATCTCCACACAGTGGCGCATGCCCACTAGTTTTTACTTTTTTTCTTTTATTCTCAGTCCCTGCCCCCCACCAAACCAACTCCCAACCAGTGAGGGCTTTTTAAATGTATGAGTTTATTGCATTGAACCTCTCATCAGAAATAAAACTCTAATAAATTTGATATGTAAGTTATAGTCAGAAGGGCACATTTTAAGATGGTAGGTGTGTTTATATATACCCTCTATTTGCTTTTGAAACTGAAGTAATAACCGTTTAACATCAGCTGAACTATGTTATATAATCTTTCAAGTGACAGCATTGACATCCAAGAACAGAAAACACTTGGACACAAAATTTTTAGAAAATATAAATTTGTTTACTGTTTTTAGGAACAACTAGTATTTCCTTATATCAAGTGATAGAGTTAGAGAGAGTTGTATGTTTAGAAAGTGGTTTCTTTCATTTTAATATGGGCAAAACCATACTGGGTAGTATTAGCAGAAGTTGAAAGCATGCTGGATTACTTCTATTTTTTTAATCAGTATAATACAAAGAAAACCACCTGTTTAGAGATTAACTAGTATGTCTTCAGGATATGATACAAGGCAATGCTTTCCTCCCTCATCCCAGTTTTGATCCTTATAGGGCACACCTTGGAAGTGGTTCCATTTATAGTTCTTCTGGTGGTTGCTGCCATATCTTACATTACTATTATTTGGAGCATAGTTTAGTTTATTTTTGTCAATATTTTCCTTACATATTTTGATTTGTCAGGCTTAGGTATTACCTCAGTTTTGCTTTGTTTTTGCTTGTTTGGTTTGGTTTGGTTTTTTAACAATAGGCATGAATTCAACTTAATTAAATGGGCCTTCATCTACCTGGCCCTTTTCCTCCCCAAATACTCATGCTCAGCTATAGCTGACCTGGCCATTTCCATTGGCTTTCTTTTCAACACTCAGAATACTTAAATGTCTATTTACTGCTCTATTAACCACAGAAGATTGAGACTTAATGCTTCCATTGACATGATGAGAAATTTATTGCCCTCTTCCTTTCTCATCTCCTCGGCCTTTGCTATTGTGATGTGTATTTCATCATGAAAATTTGTATTAGTTCACTCATTTCTATAATTATAACTTATTATAGTTGACTCTAAAAGTTAAACAATAAAAACAACATTCATAAGGTTGCAACTCTCTAAGATTGTTTACTACAATGCCAAGCATTTGACTTCCTTCTCTGTTCTTACAGTATCATGACCTCTGTGGCTCTGAGTGATGCCCCTTGATCATGGTGAAAAAGATTCTCCTTTCTTTTACATTTGAAGCTTATGTTAGTGTGCTTACACTGTTTCAGAAACACAATCAAGCTTCTCATTACCCCCATATTTTACATCAAAATGTGAAAAAATTAGTCAACAGCATATATTTTATATTGATCATATAAATAATATGCAATCTTTGGCCAAGTCATGTGCCAAATTGGATTAGTATATCCATGGGTCCAATGCTGTGCCTTATGTGCTACATAAATTATGTTCTTATTTTTGAAGCTTGTGCTTCATCACTTACTTATAATCATGCTATACTTTAGTTTGATATATTATTTAATTGAGAATTTCTCATACAGATTTTTCCCCACAGTTTAATTTTTTATTGCTTTCTGGGCCTTTACGTCATTAAGAGTTTAAGCATCTCAATTAAACAGTCTATAAATTCTAGTCCCTGGAATGCCTTTTAGAGCCCTTCCACCATCTTACACTAATTTGAGTTGGTTGCTTTCCAGGCTTTACCTTTATTACCCTGC